ATATGATAGACATTGTGAATTGATAGGAAAGCACTCAAAGGTAAAGGGCAACTGGGATGTGGGAAAAGAGAAGGGAAAGAAGGAGAAATTGTGTACGTATGTATATGCAGGATAGTCAACATGGCTGTTCTGATGTCTTGTTTTTCTTTGCTGAAAGAAACTGTCAATGAGTCCTTGGTTGATCAGCATTGCATGTCTATATCTGTTTTCATGAGAAACCACTTTGAAGATATCAATATGTAATACAATAAGCATTGTCAATTCCCCATCACTTTATTTGTAACTCCATACTGTCTGTACTGTTCCTTTGCTATTTTGTAAAATGTTGTGTGTCTGTTAATATTTTCCTCCTTTTATTTTTAAAATAAAAAAATACCCAAAGTAGGCCATTTTAAAAATACGTAAAAATAACCTTTATTTGGAATCAGAATGATCTACTTCTACTCTATCTACTTGATAGAAGAAAATTTAACTTCTATTATTGTAGAATATACATTGTTTTTACAACTTTTATAGTGCAGTGTCTAATATTCAGTTTAAAAATTTGAGGCATGTTAAGCAAGAGAATAAGTGATTAAGAACCAAGAAAGAAATTACAAAAATTTGTTTATAATGGTTTTAAATTCTAGTCAATACTAAGTGAAAAATTACCAAAATAAAATTGGTGTTTTGTTTTATTTGAGACAGGGTCCCATTATGTAACTCAGGATGGCCTTGAATTCACTATGTAGTGCAGGGTGGCCTTGAACCCATAGTGATCCTCTTTTCTCAGCATCCTGAGAGCCAGGATTTATAAGGGTGTGCCACCAACAATGTATAAAACCAGTTTTTAAAATATTTGATATCCTGGGTACTCCAAGCCTTTCAGTGGGGACTTCTACAAAGGCCTCCAATAGACGGACAAATGTTTCTCCCTTGAGCTAAAAAAATTTACTGTAGAAGACACTTATTGGTTGCTTAACAATCTTAAACATGCAATTTTAACCTCTGCTTTTTTTTGTCTTGCTGAGGGAGTAGGAAAGATTAGACAGTATCCTTCCTTTTATATTTTTATAGTTTCATTTTCATAGAACTGCCAATAAAGTAGTCTTTAATGAGAAAAAATACTAAAAAAATTAAATACAATTTAATTATCCAAAGCATTTTTAATTAATGTCTTTTATGTTCCCAGAAATTTCTGCAGAGCTCTTTTCATATCTTTGTTCCTAAGACTATATATCACAGGGTTAAGGAGAGGGGTCAAAACAGAATAAAAGAGAGTCACAATCTTCTGCATCCCAGCTTCATGCTCAGATGTTGGGCTCCCATACATAACTAGGACTGAGCCATAAAATAGTGAAACCACAGCCAGGTGAGAACCACAGGTGTTAAAAGCTTTTCGTTTCCCAGCTGTTGAAGGGATCTTCAACACAGCTTTTAAGATCAAAACATAAGACCCAGTGATGAAAAGCAAGAGACAAACAAGAGGAAGAGCATTTGAAGAAGAGATAACAAGCTCTATCACAGGAGCCTTTTTGCAAGTGAGGGCTAACAGAGGACCTGGGTCACACAGAAAGTGGTCAATAATCCTGGACCCACAGAAGGACATCTGGGATATGATGATGATGGGGACTGGGAACCAGAGGAAACCAAGTACCCAGCAGCTGACTACAAGGATGTTGCAGAGACGACTGGTCATAAGAGTGGAATAGTGCAGAGGCCTACAGATGGCAAGGTAACGATCAAAAGCCATAACTGCCAGGAAGAAGCATTCTGTGGAACCCAAGGAAAAGAAGAAATAGAACTGTAGAAAGCACCCAGAGAAAGAGATGACCTTGGTGTCAGAAAGGAAGTTGGCCAACATGTTGGGGACTGTGGAGGTGACATACCAGATCTCCAGGAAGGAGAAGTTGGCCAGCAGGATGTACATGGGTGTGTGGAGCCTCTGATCCCAGCGCACAGCACAGATGATGGAAGCATTACCCATAAGTGTGAGGAGGTAGATTGCAGAGAAGAGCACAAAGAGGAGAAGCTGGCCCTCCCTGGAGCAGGGGAAGCCCAGGAGGATGAAACCGTTGATGGTGCTGGAGTTGCTGGGGGTGTTGAAGCTTTTCATGTGTCTGTGAGCTGTAAAAATTCAAGCAATTGATGAATGGTAGATAAATAAAATGGGGGATCAGATTTATAATTAAATAATCATAGGAAAGAATATATATAGAAACACATCAACATCAGTAACTGCTTTAAATATATAAAATTTATTATTTTCTTCCATTAACATTTTTTCTATGTTTTTATGAATATCTTTAGTCATAATTCATTTTTCAACATATAACAATATTCTCCATCATGATAATGAGACATATATATGCATATAGTACATACCATATATGTATATATGTATATACTCACAAAACAGGATTTCTTTCATCATCTGTAGAAGTGAAATCATTGCATCCTTACGTGTAAGTGTATGTTGCTCCTCTAGAACACTCTCTTTTTGCCACAGGCATAATAACTTTAACAAAATGGCATCTAATTAGTTTCTTCCTTTCCACACAATATGTATGTAACATAACACTGGCCTTTTCAGTTTCTAGAAATGGTCAAGCACTTTGAGGAATCAGGGTCTTTGTCCCTCTTATTCTTCTGTTTCACTAAAGTTACCCAACTGCCCAGCACAGTTTGAAGAAAATAGTATGTATCTTCTAACTACTTGCTGAAGAATTTATTTTTACATTTACAAATAAAATATAGGTAGATCATGTATATAGAGATGGGTACAACTTCTTCATTTAAACTGTACCACTGCAAAATGAAGGTTGAGAAACCAATACACAAAAGAAATGCTGTTGTAGACACTCTTACAGTGTTTAACAGATTTGAAAAGGATACCTTTGAAAGGAAGCAATGTGAAATTGAACATTCTGGTGATATAACATGTCCAATGCCAGATGACTGCTAAAGAGTATTGTGGCCCAATAGCCTTGGGTGCAGAAATGAGAAAAGAAGAGAAGACAAGAGAAGAGAAGAGAAGAGAAGAGAAGAGGAGAGAATTCTATGGGGCTCAAGTTTTTTTTCTAACTTCTGAAAGGCCTTCTTTGCTTTAAATGGAAAAAAAATTATTTGGCTGTTAATCCCTTTTCATTATAAAATGTTCACTTTTATTCAAAATTTAACCAAGTATATATGATATCAGGATTTTATGAATCAAAAGATGATGTTTTAGTTATAATTATTGCTTAGGTGAAAACATCAGTTGGATATGTTGTCATTTATACATGAGTCTCAAAGATCCATACAAACTACCCCTTGGTGTGACAAAGTGCCCCAGGACACAAGCAAGTATGGAAGTGATTTTCTTTGTCATCACCTAACCAAACTGACAGTGAGAGAAGAAGCAGATATTTCTATTAAGAGTTTATTGATTCTCAACTTTTACTATTTTGCTTCCCTGTTCAGAGACCAGTAGCACATGCTGAGCAGGAGCTTTCCAAATAGCTGACAGTTGCCTCCAAGTTGGTTGCAGAAGGGAGAATTAATATTAGTACAATGGTTTTAATGCTGTTTCTATATGTATAGGATACTTCTTCTGATTACAATTCCAAAAAAACCCCACATCTTCACCCCCATTAGAGCATAGAAATGTTGGAAGAGAGCCAGTTTAAAAGTCAGATCCTATGCTAAAGATGTAAGCAGAATGAAGGGTATTTTGTTTCTCTGGTATTGTACTTTAGTTCTAAAGATAGTCCAAGAAGACACATTTGTGGGATACATTATGGGTCTGATTTCAACAGCATAACCAATTGTCTCACTTGATATGGATGGGAGATTGTCATACCTGTCTCATTTTTGCAAATCACTGTGGAAACTTCCCTCTTTATAGGAAGTTGTAGGCAGTCAAGGTACAAGAGAAAAAGTAATTGACTTAGAACAATTGAAGAACCTAGGGTTTGAATTATAGGATATGCTTCACGAACTGTAGAAAACTTTTTCCGTTCAATTATATAAGCTATTTCCCAGTTCCTCCAACTGTAAAATGGACAGAGTAATACTTTCACCAAAAGGTTTTTTTCCTTAAAGTCTTGAATAAGGTGACATGTAGAAAGTATTTAATCTAGAGCTGACACTTCAGGATTATTGGCTACATATCATGTAAAGCAAGCAAGGTAGAAGGCATTCTTGCTTAGAGCTCCATGATTATTCTACCTCTGATATGCTTACTTTCTCCTCGAAGCACCCCTTCATCTCCCATCAAGCAAAGGAGGGAATCTAAACTTGAAATTACTCCAACAGTGCTGGATTTTCTTGAAGAGCAGAGGTGCTTGCTGCTGTTATAACTACCAAGGAGTGGGGGAATATAAGTAAAGACCTCTGTGTTTGTTAGAGGAAGTAAGGATAACATAAGCAGAGCCTTCAGGGAGTGAGCCTTGCCATGTGCTCTGTGGGGATCAATTTATTACCACCAGGAAAAGAGTGGCAGGAGACTGCTGTGTGCTGGTTCTTCCTTCCTCTGGGGCCTATCTCCTATGGAGACCTGTGATGCTTTCAGCCTCTTTTCCATCCCTAAGTTTCTCAGGAATGACATGAGATATATAATCAATCTCCATGTGCACTAAGAGCATCTACCATGTGTCTGAGGAAAATTCTGCCACAGAAACATATGGTGTGGTGACTGCTACGCTAGAAACTATTCCTGGGCCTCTAGTGTGTTTCATCAGTTGTGGATTCTAGTGACAGGGCCAGAAAGAAGAGATGGGTTGAAGGTGTGGTGAAACCTCAGTTGTAGTGTTGTACAGTAACAGCAGGATTCCTACTCTCCCCAGGGTCTTTCTTACAGACTTGACCTCTCTTATTTGGGATTGGAGCCTGAGAATCATAGTCAGTTCCCATGAGGACATACTCCCAATGTCCAAGTCAGGAATTAAATCTTTTGTTGGCTGAGTACCATCGGGGATTGGGCTTTAAGGTTCCCCCACTCCTGGCAGAGGTACAGGTCTTCCAGCACTATTTATTTAATGTCCATTTCTTCCTAGATGTGGAAGGTATTTATTTTAAGAACTTATGAGTTCATTTCACCTCCTTTTTGAGCAGGCTTGATTTCTCCTCTGTCACAACACAGAATTCAAAATTTCCCAACAAAATTTCTGCAACTCAGAAGATACAAAAACTCTGAGTGGACCAATAGCAATGAAACTGAGGCACTGATGAAAACCCTACAACTAAGAATAGCCCGGAAACTGATGTTTTCACCATCGAACTGCATTAGAAATTTAGAAATAAACTAATGACAATACTCTTCAAACTCTTCCATGAAATTGAAAATGAAGAAACACAGCCAGTTCATTCCCTCAAGCAAGCATTACCCCAATGCCTAAAAATGAAAAAGACCCAACAAACAACAACAAAAATTACAGGCCAATATTCTTAATAAGTAGATGTACAAATCCTTAACAAGATGCTTGCAAACAGAATGTAACAAATCATTTAAAAGATAACACATCATGAACTTCATCCTAGGGATGCAGAAGTGGTACAGCATATGTAAATTAACAAATGTAACAAACCACATAAACAGAAGGAAGGATTAAAGTTACATGATTATCTCAATAGAACCAGAAAAATCTTTTGACACAGTGCAACATCCACTCATGATAAAAAAATTCTGATAACAGGCATTGAAGGAACTTGCTTCAAACAGATAAAAGCCATTTATGACAAACCCACAGCCAACATAATACTAAATGGAGAAACCTGAAAGCATTTCCTCTAAAATCAGGAAAAAAGATAAGGTGTCCACTCTCCTAATGTTTCATAGAGTACTCAAAACTTTAGGCAGAGCAATTGGGCAATAGAAGAAAATAAAAGAAATTGAATAGGAAAGGAAGAAAGCAAAGTATGCTTATTTGGAGATAGCATGATTCTTTACATAGAGGATCCCAGAAACTCAACAAGAACACTCTTAGAAGAAGCTCAGCAAAAAAGCCAGATCCAAAAAAGTACTCAAAAATCACTAGCATTCTTTTACACCTGTAGTGGGAAAGACATTAGTAAAGTAATCCAATTCAGGTAGCTTTAGAAAAATTAAATACATGAGAATTAATCTAACCAAGGAAGTTAAATTCCTCAATAATGACAACAGTAGCACTCTGAAAGAAAGAGTTTATAGAGGACATTAGAAAATGGACAGACGTCTTCCGCTCCTCCACATCAATATGTCAAAATGGCTGTATTGTCAAAAGTGTATAGATTTAATGCAACCTTAGGCAAAATAACAACATCTTTATTTCTAGAATAAAAACAATCCTGGAACTACACAGTAACAAAAGAGACCCAGAATCACCAAATCAATTCTGAACAGAAAGAACAAAGTCAGAGGCATTACAGCCCCAGATTTCAAGTTATACTACAAAGCTACAGTAACAAAAATAACATATTACTGGATCAACAACGAAATGAAACCCAATGGAATAGAATAGAAGGTACAGAAACAACTAATAGACTGCTCTCTATCTGATTTTTTACAAAAGGGTTAAAAACATGAGTGGGAGAAAATATAGATTCTTTAACAAGTAGAGTTGGGAAAACTATCATATGTGCAGAAACATGAATCTACACTCATATATCTCACACTATAATACAATAAAATCAAAATGAAAGGACCTAGATATAAAAAACAGACACAATTCTCAAAGACATAACCATAGGCAAGGATTTCACGAACAGAACCCCAATTGCACAAGAAATAATGCCAAGAACTGACCAATAGGATCATATAAAATTAAAAAGTTTCTTCAGGGTAAAGGAAACAACCGAGTGAACAGACAACCTACAGAATGAGAGAAGATTTTTGCCAGCTACTCCTCAGAGGACTAATATCTAGAATACACAAGGAAATTAAAAAATAAAACTCCTAAAACAAAGGACCCAATCAAATATAGGCAGCTGAAATGAATGGACAAATACTTTTTAAAAGAAGCTCAAATGACTAGTAAGTACATAAAATAATGCTTAACATCTTCACATTTTAGAAATACAAATCAGCACAGCACTGAGCTTCCATCTTACAATAAGAATGACTGTTATCAAGAACTCAGAAAATAACAAATGTTGGCAAGATTGTGGAGATAAAGGAACCCTTATATATGGTTGGTGGTACAACCACATTGGAACTCAGTATGAAGATTTCTCAAGAAATTAAAAACAGAAA